GAAAACAAAGAGAGGTGGAAGATTGAATTCGTTGGGGGCAGGTGTGATCGAGAAGAATGGATGAGACCAAGGTTTTAATTACGTCAGTTTTCGACGGGTTTGATTAAATTTTATTTTTGGGATGGATTTTTATTTTAATTAAATTTATTATTGCTTTCGATTCTGGGCTCGAGTGCTCGGGATATTAAGCCTTGCTTGCAATCACACGGTGTCGCGTCGTTTTGATTTTGTTAATTGGCTAAATTTTCAATCAAGTTATTAATTAATCGTTTCTTGCCGGTTGGAGAAATAAATTTTTTTGAGGAAAATGATTTGATTGGTTGGGCTGAGAGAGATATGTTTCTTGAGCTATCAAACTGATGAGATTGAGATTTTAACGGAACGGAATATTTTAATTCTGATTATATATTTTATTGAGTCATCTTGTAAATAATGTTGTTTTAAAAATCTTATTTAATAATATAAATAAAAGTTAACAATACTTGTGCTTGTTTTTTTATATCGCATTTTATATTATATTTTCAAATAAAATAATGTATAAATAATAATTTATCTAATTTCTATTTTCTTAAAACTTTATTATTTAAAAAAATTATAATATAATATAAAATAATGTTATTAATTGAGTATAATGGATGTGATGCATTAATATCATTTAAATTACTTGAGAATTTTTTTAAAAACTTTTTTACAAATCGTTTCCTTATTAAAGTTTCATATTATTTATCTCATTCTTCGTTTGTTATTTACAAATGAAAAAAATTTAATTTTAAAATTGAAATTTTATAAGAAATGTTTCCATGTAATTGAAATTAGATTTCTGAAACTTTATTTATAGAATAATTTAATTTATAATTTTATATAATGTAATTAAAAAATGTCTCAGTTTACAAATAAACAACATCATAATTCTAATAATTGTATATATTTTACACATATATATTATTATTATATTCGTCAAATTTAATTCCAATTCTCGTTAATATTTAAAAATTCAAGTCAAAATTTAACGCAGTTAAAAATATATTTAGAAAAATCTTATGAACGTTTGTTTAATAAATTTATATTCTTCAGTCAAACGAAACCTTAATTATTATTCAAGCAATATCGAATTTAATTTCATATTTATTGATTTTCATCTTGAAGAATCAAAGAAATTTTTGAGAAAATTATTTTTAAAAAACTCTATTGACTGGTTTACTTAAAATTTATTTAAAATTGATGGAATAGAAAGAATCTGGGAAATTATTTAAGAGAAAAATCTAAAGGTTTGAGTGTTCTTTCTCAACTTAATTTGCGTTTATTGTTCCCGATCGATTCTTCGACGAATACGTTGTTCCGTGAACCTTGTTGAGTAATGGCAATTTCCAATAACTCGTTTGAGCTGATACAGTTAAGATTGAGAGGAAAATGTATAGCTTCGGGGCTAATTAATTTTTCTGAAATTATCCGAAACTGGATACATTCATTCTATCAAGGAAGCAAGAACTCACTCATCGAGTGAAAAATCATTAAATCGAATAAAAATTTATATGGTATGAGCGAAATATAATTACATTCAGCCTGAAATCTTATTGTGATCAAATATATCAACAATATATAAGATTTGTGTATTACAATTGAATAAATAAAATCCAATAAAATTGTGCGTAAAGCAATGTTTTTCAATATTGTTGAAATATATAAATTAAATAATATAAATAAAAGTGATAATTATAACCAATAGTGAATCGATTGCAATTGTTATTAAAATCATGGAGTATTGACTTTATCGATAATCGATAACCGAATCTTTTATTATACTTATATAAATATTTTTATATTTAATTAATGCATTAAAAAAAATTTGTTAAATAAATAAAATAAATAATATATAACGAATATTCAAATGTATTATCTCAAATAATAATTTTCGTACTAAAAATTATGGCATACTGCAAATTCTTCATTAATTTCGAAGTGCACAATTAATCCAAAAAGAAAAGATTATACTGTGTTAAATGATTTGATAGAAAAAGAAAAAACACAACATATTATTCAACAAGTTTTGCACAAATTAAACGATCAACTAGAACGTTCAATAAACGATTTGAATGATTAATAAAACGTGACAATAATTTAATTTTAATTGGTTAAACTTCCGGCAGGATCGAGTTCAACGGTGAAAAAGCGTAAGTCAAAAGCGAGGTGAAAACAAGACTTGAAGAATGGAATTATAAGAGGGGAATAAAGATCTCGCGGAACTGACTAAAGGGTTGAGCTTTTGAGTAGAGGTAGAAGAGGGAACTGCCACTATCGATAATCGTTTAATCTAGGTCATAGCGGGAGATAGCTTTATCTTTCGTCAAGGATAGACGAAACCGTAGAAATGGAGGTCTCCAGGGCAGAAGGAGGGACAAAGGAGATGGAAGTTTTCCTCGAACGAGAACTCCGCCAGACAGCCGAGTATGACTCGTTCGATCGATGCGATGTCGCGTGAAAATTGTTGGGGAAAAAAGGAAGGAAAAGTGAGAAAACTTTGCAACACTTTTGTGTGCAAGGAAATTTCTATCTCTCTCTTATCTCCTGTCCCCTACGAGTTTTTCTTTCTTCTTCAATGATCGATGGCGTGAAAGTTTGTTAGAAATAGAGAAAGAATAGGCAAGGTTGAGGAGAGTACTTTGGATGCGAAGCTTCATTTCGAATGTATCCTCAAGGATGTTGATGGTAAAAGTGGAGGGTCCTTTACGGCCGATTAACTCTTCGCCATTTGCCTTTGTGCTTGGAATAGATCGAAATATTAACCCTTTCGTGGCAAGTCGAGTTTGAAGTGATCTTTCAAAAGCAGGCAACGGTTTTAGTGCAACAACACGTTTGCATTTCTGAAAAGTCGTTTCAAAACTATGTTTATTTCACGAATTCAAAACTTTTGCCTTACATGTATTTATATAACATGTTTAGGGCTTGTTGTTTGATAGTTTCGTTTAATTAAAAGATGCTGCTGGTTCACGTCAGTGATCTTTCCTTCTCCTTGGCGAGATTAAATTTGATTAAAAACTTTCCAAGAACGTCAGAGTACTCGTTTTCTATGCAAAAGTGCTATTTTTTTACAAATATTTCAAAGTTTATAATCTTGTAACGTTAAATAACTTTCGATAAATATCAGGAATAATGACGAAAGCTCAGATATATCTGCATCGTTTATTACTAAGAAAAGAAGAAGAAGAAACTTTTTTATCTTCATTGTATATGATTAAGTTTGTTAAAAAAGATATGAAGTTCCACTTTATTAGAAATGAATATCTAGAATACATGGCCGTGACCCCACACACTGGTTAGCTCTGGTTCGATCTTTGCAGACAATGTTCCCTTTAAAATCGATTAAACCGGATGTGTTCTTAACGCGCGCGCTCGAGAACTTTGCAGGGTAAACATCAGAATTCATTTATACGATCGATGAAGCATTTTGCTCCACATTCGTCAAGGTTTTGTATCTCCTGCCCGCTGTGCCGCCATAAAAATGCTAATTCTTTCCATTGTACGATGTTACTTTACATCTCGAATTCTGTTTCTTGATAAGAACGATATTCATACGAGGTTATGGATGCTTAAGAGCGAGCTATTTCTGCCTTCCTATATCCCTGTTAATACAAATTAATAAACATCAGACATAGATATATTTCCTTCTCCTTTTTTCCTCTTTCATCGATATTTCTTGTAATATGAATTGGACGAATGGATTTATGCAAATAATATCTCGAATTTCTTTCACGATGGAAAGCTTCGATGAAAGAAGAAGACAGTGATCGATAAAAGAGTGAATCTTGATAAATTGTGCATTCTGAGTACGAATTTTTAACTCTCCTTGTCTATCACCTATCTACAATTGTTTTTTCCTAGAAAACATTAGGTAAATTAGCGATTTAAAGTTCTGTTCCTTTCTAAAAAAATTACTTTTTTCTTTTTACAATGAATTACAAAATTTAGAAAATTAATCGAATAAAAATTGAAATACAATCATTTTCTTCGAGAAGATTCAACAATCCTTTCGTCAATTGACATAATTTTCCATCCCTTGTCGAGCACTGATGTCTGAAACCTCGGGTGGTTGAATAGATTTTGCTTCGAAAAGGGCTGCGAGGACGTAAATGCAAGAAGGTCGATGATCCTTCTTTATGAGGTTGTCAGGATATAAGTTCCGTAGCAGGACAGACGGCGCCAAGTTCTGTCTCCTTGCCATTAGGGAAGCCTACATTCTACGTCCAACAACGAACGCACACATAACGCCGTTCTGGAGGGAGAGGAACACAGACGGGCTTTAACGCATAACACGTGACTGTATGCGCACAGGACGGCACGGGTCGTCCACGAATTAAGTTGTTTTTCGAAAACTCCCGATCGGGGTTACGTCCTTGGGCGTCCGCTGTTCCCATTAGCCCGGGGTGTGCCCCAGATTTTCATCGATGGCACTGTTTATTTTTAGGTTTCTACGATATCGAAGATAGTCCGCGCGTCAGCAACTATTTCATCTTCGGTTTGGGAAGATTCCATCTATCGACCTTGCTTTTTCCTTTACTATTTCACCGCTTACGATTGAAGTTCTCCCTTCACGCGTATATTGTTCCACGTACATCCGTATATAACGTCGTCTAATTTCGATTATGATTCGTACGTGTAATATTGGTATCTCGTTCCGTATATCGTTTCGATAAAACACGTGGCGTTTGATGCGATTTGAATTTCGCGTCACCTCGAGGCGCTGCGGCGCGCATGCGCTTTAACTGTCAGCGTGACATTTCGCGAAAGAGTATAACAAAGCGAATTCGATATTCGTGAATGAATGATGTGGAAAAGTGGTGAAATATTGCATGAAGGGGCTCATAGATGTTTCAGGAAATATATGAAATATTTGTATCGGGTTATTTTAAACTTTAGTCGACAGAAGAATGTGAGGTTATACAGGTATGCATAGGAACAATTTGTACTTTATTTGTAATATGGAATATTTCTTTTATTTTCAGCTGAATGAGGCTCATGGAACCCTTGGGTGTTGCCCCGGATGTGGTGGAGACGGGCGCATTGAAAAAATGGTCCGACTTTCCCGTCCAACACCGATTCACAGACTACTCCAATTCTATTGGAGAACCAACTCATCACACTATAAGTCCTTTTCCATGTCAACCAACGCTTAACAACAAGCTTGCTCTATGGTAAGCTATAAGATAACTTTACAAAGGTTTATTTAATTTACAAAAAGTTATAAATATTATTATTATTTTTTAGGACTGGGGATATTTCTATTTTACAAGTGGATGCAGTAGTAAATTCCACAAATGAAACAATGGATGATAATAGTCCTATGTGCCAAAGAATATTTGTTCGGGCTGGATCAGCACTTAAGATGGAAATATTTAATGAAATCAAAGGTATTGCTTGTAAAGTAGAAAATAAAATTGAAAATAAAATAATTACATCAATATTGAATTGTGTGTAATGTAAATAATTGTCTACAGAATGCAAAACCGGTGAAGTAAGAGTAACCCAAGCTCATGGTTTACCAGCACGCTTTATTATTCATACTGTAGGACCAGTATACAATGTAAAATACCAAACAGCAGCTCAAAATACATTACATTGCTGCTATAGGTAAATTTTATATTAAATAATATAAAGCGTTTATTTAAATATATGTGCGAAGTATATAAAATATTATTCATGTTTTTGTATAGAAATGTTTTGCAAAAAGCACGAGAGCTTGGTTTACGCACGATCGCGCTGCCAGTAATTAATTCTGTACGAAGAAATTATCCTCCCGATGCGGGAGCACATATTGCACTGAGTGAGTGTGAATTATTTAAATTAATATTATTTTTAAATTCATTTAAGTATATGATAATTATTCCCAATTATGTTTCATTGTATGTAATAGGAACAATAAGAAGATTTCTGGAGCAATATGGCGATTCTGTTACATGTATTGTACTTGTATTGGAACCGTGTGATCTTGGAATTTACGAAGTTCTTCTTCCACTCTATTTCCCAAGAAATTTAGCAGAGCAAGATAACGCGTGTTGGCAACTACCGAACGATATAGGTGGAACGGATGGAGAACCTTTACTTCCTGATCGACAAATTAGGATCATCGATAATCCTCAACATGCTTTACATGGTAATAACGTGAAACGATGTATTAGAAATAATATATTTTAATTAAAAAATGTTATACGCTACAATGTTTTACGTTTATTTGTTATAGGCGATGAAAGTGTAGAATTATCTGCGCAATTAGAAACATCCGTGAATATTGGTGAACATGCGTTTGCACAAATGCAAGGTGATTTGGATCGACAAAGACTTCTTGGAGAAAGGCCACCTGCCGATCCACTTGCAGATATCATGCTGAAACAAATGCAACAGAAAGAAAGGTATGATTAAAAATATTTTTTGAATTAAAAATCGTTATTGAATGTATAGCAATATAACAATTGAACTCTAACATAACAATTGAATATATAACAAATCGATCATTTGTCCAATTTTATAATATAATCTATCGCAGTTTTTTTGTGATATAATTATAGATATTTGCGTGAAAGTAGTGTATAACGAATATTTATTAAAAAAAAATTTGAAAAAAAAATGTGTCGACCATATGTACTGGAAGTGGATATAAATAGTGATTTAAATAGGTATGTAAAATCGTGTGATTGTGGGACTATACAAACATTTGCTTTAATTGTAGAGTGTTCGTTTTAATTTAATTATAATCGAGTATATATATCGAGTAACAATGATCAATATTAATATAAATAAATAATATATAAATATAATTCATATAAATACGCCATTCTTTGTGTAAAATCTAAATAAAATAACAACATATCTATTGACAAATGTGCGAAGCACTCTGACATTAAAGATTAAAATTTTTCATATCGAAATGTTTTCATATAAAATATTAAAATTAACTTAATTCTTATTATTATTAACTTAATTCTAAAATATTCAACGTTATATATTCTTTGTTAATACAAAGAAGTACTAACTTTCCATTTAATTTTCCCAAAATGTAATAAAATCTATAATTTCATTCAATGAATATTACAAGTATAATTATGCATAAAATCCACATTTCTTTTGTACATTATAATGCTAATTTTACTATTTTAAGTAGAAACGTAATATGTACTACTTTCATATATAAATATCTATAAATCTTTCATATATAAATATCTATAAATCTTTCGTATATAAATAGTTATACGGTACTTTTTTATCGTAGAAATCTTGATTTATTAATACATTATATATCATTGGTCGATAATGAGATCGAGAATAGAATTGAATTATTTTTATGTTTGAGAGTAACTCCAATGAAGATTTTTAAAAAATGCATTTTCTCTAATTTTTAAAAAGTAATAAATGTGTATCTTTTTATTTATTATTTATTTATTAATATTAATATTTATTTAATAACAACGTAAGATGTTTCAAAAAGACAAAATTTCTTTCTTATCGAATGCAGGTTTCTTCAATATCAACTATTGCTATGAATGTTTCATTCAACAATTATATTATATTATCATATAAAACATTATCATATAAAACAATAAAATAATAAAATCCATTTTTTAAAGGTTACTATTTGTAGAATAATTCACATTTATTACATATACATATAATTATAATTTTCAATGTATTTGATTATCCAATTCTGTAATTGCACATGATACATAATGTGATTTAAATACTTTTTCAAGTTAAACAATATACTATTTATTTTATTAATTTTATTAATCATTCTACATATTTATAGTTTTTCTCTATATTAATATGAGAACATACATGCATAATCCAAAATTAAAGAATTATTTTACTAATTAATTTTAATAAATTATTTATTACATGATTGTAATGATAATTACAAGATCGATTTTCTATTTATTTATCAATGGAATTCTTTCTATTTATTATTGAAAGAAAAACTACCTTTATATAAAAAGCTTCCGTCAATAATATCGTTGATAGAAACGGCCTCGTAACCTTTCTACGCTGCAAGCTCGTTTATGTATCTCGAAATAGCATGATACGCATAAAACATATTCGATGTCTAGAATATTCTAGTAATAATTTATCTAATTTTTTACGAAAGCTCGTCACTCATATTTGCAAAAAATCATTCGATTAATTATGACGATTCATTAAACAAGATAAATTCTTTGAGGTTCCTTTCAAAATCTTAATGCTATTTTATCGCAATGAAATCTTATAAATACAAAATTAAATTAAGAATCTGGAGTTTTGCAATTTGGTAGAAACAAGATTCTACAATTTGAAGCATTCCTCTAGAATGAATAAAACATTAACAGAATCTATTTTTTTTTGTTATATTTATTATATTTTTGTAAGATTAGATAAGTCAAATATAGTACTTAATTTTAGAATGAAAAATGATGCTTATATAATAATTATTCATTTTTTTCTTTTTCTCTTTTTTTACAAAAAGAAAATTCTATGATATTCATAATTTTCAATGTTAATCCTCGTAACATTTTTGAATTCCAAACTTTAATTTTTTTATTTAACATAAAAATATAAAATAGGAAATAACATTATTATAAAATTATTATTATGACAAACAATTTCGTAATTTTTTCTAAAAAATATAGTTAATTTCTCAATTTAAAGTGAACAAATGAAAAAATCGGTACGAAATATCTTCATGACCTTAAGCTTGAATTTTCAACTATATTTTCTACTCATATTTTCAAAATGTTCATACATCACTCACGCCAGATAAATGTTTATTTGATGCATATAGTTTACTTAAATTCATCAGCACTGGTAAACATTAGTTTAGACATCTGTCAAAGTTAATGTTGGAACATCTGGCGCCTTTAACAATGATCTTTCGTGTATTTTTCAAGTGAACTGCAAGATTGCCAAACTATTAAATTTTCTTTTATTTCTTTACTTCCTTATATTTCTAATATAATAATGATTTATTAATATTTTCTATATTTCTATATTTTTCAACGTAAAATTTCTTGATCTTTTAATTTTCTGTAAATTCTTAGTGATCATTTGATTACAGAGATTATTTATTATTCTTTCTGCTAATTCGAGACGTGTCTTAAAAGATTAATGATTTCGATAAAGAAATGGTTTAACCGATCATTTTGTTGATGAAACACCTTGGATTCATTATAATTGAGGCCACGGTCTCGTGAAATCTTTAATACGATCAATTGAGAAATCGATCCAAGCTATTATGAAGGTTCTTTTCTATAAAATAGGAATCTTAACTTAAATGAAACATTTATCATAAAAGATAAATGCTTTTTTCTTTTATCAATTGAAATCATTACTTAATATAAATTAATTAAATTATTACAAAATTTATTTTATATTTCTAACTTATTTTTCTACATAAAATCATAATTATAGAAGATATTGTATTAAATCAGATAATAAGATAACTTTTCATGAAAAAATAAATCGAAAAAATTTCATTTTTTTATTTGCTTTGTTTTCGAATAAATGGAGAATTGAATTTTCTTTCAAATTTAAGTGAAGAGCTAATAAATAAAATTATTGACACTTTTGTATGTAAAAATAAAAAAATATATAAAATAAATATATTTCATTCAAAAATATTAATTTTCAAGAAAATTAAATTTGAAAATTGTACGAGTTCTTGATTATATGATCAAATTTCTTGATCAAATTTTTATTTTCTCAAAAACAAGCAGTAATAAAATTAAGTTTATCAAATAATAAAATTATTTATATATACTTTAGAATAATCATTAATTCATATTCAATTAAGAATTAGACAATTTCACTTTGAATATTTTCAATAAACTTGATTTATTCGAAAACGAAGCGTGAAATGAAAAAATTTTATTCTTCTTTTTGACTAATTTTTTCAAAAGGAATCATTTTCTGATCTGATGTACTATAATTAACCATATCTTATATAACATATTTTCCATTTTAATAAATATTAATGTTAACTTTATCTTCGATAATTATTAATCAAAATTTTAAAACTTATCATTTAGGAGGAACTTATCATTTTGATAGTTCTAGTGGTAAAATTTGTTTTTCACGACGTGATATTCATATTCAAAATGATATTCATAGATATAACACTCGTGTGTCAACGAGAATTTATAAAATGTAATAATAGCACAAGTGTATATTCAATATTCGAGGCAACGTAAGCAATGTTTATTATGATCCAAGATAACCTTGAGAAATTCGCAAAATTATGCTTCCTGCATCCGCAGGAAATTCTAAAATCACGTGCTCTTTATTTGCGCGTTCGAAGAAAGACCCGATATATCCGCGTAGCGTGTGCATCGATGATTAATCTTGCTGTAACTTTCAGTGCAAAAGAAATCGAATGTCGTCCTATTTTCATTTCGTCGAAAGCACAAAATCGAAATAATTGTATTGAAAATCAATAATGGATGAATCGTATTACTTGTGTACGTCGTTTCGAATAGAATTTCATCCATTATTTAGATACATATTTCTTTATAAGATATATATATATAGTAAATACAATCAATTTATTATTGTATTTTATTCATTAATATGATACTCACTTAAATAATTGGAAATATATCCTTGAAATTTTCAAAAATAATTAAAAAAAATTAAATAATGTATTATATACATTTTTTTAACCAAAAAAAATAATAATATTATTTGTTTCTTGGACTTAAAAATTTTTTTAGATTACAGATTAGTCTAACTTGACTTTATTTGATTATCATTCATTTATCAAATTCTTTCAATATCATTTGATTACAGATACATATTTTTAAATAAATTTGAAAGGAGAAATAACTTTATTGTATCAAAACCATCACTTTTTTTTCTTTTTTATTAAGAAACTCAAAAATTATCTATTCTTGTATTAAGGATAATATAAAATCCTAAAATTTAGAATGAAATGACGAATATTTCTTAGAATAAAAATTGTACAGTTTATTATAATTATTATTATTATAATCATGTAGAAGCAATACATTGTTAGAGATCGTTTCACTGTTATACTTGCTATCACAGGCGGGTTAAAGAAACGTAAAATAACGAAGCCATTAAGACCAGCCATTGATTTCAATCCTTCCCATTCTGACATTTCCAATTGGGCTCTCTAAAACGATAAACGAGTGTAACGATCGAACAGTAGCAGCTGGTTTCGATTAAACGAACACACGAACCGCGCTACATTAAAACCAATCGACCCAGAAATGTGAAAATATAACGCAATTTTACATCGTACCATGGAAGCATTGAAAATATATCCGTCATAGAATTAACCAATTATATAAATAAAATACATTAAAACGTCAATTATCCAAATTTATTCAATTATTCGAACACAAGATGAATATTTATGATATATTTGAAC